ACCGTCCTCTCTGTTCTTGGACACACAGAGGAGATCATTGGAGGTGCTCAGGCTGTGCTGCAGACCCCAGGGGAGCAGGYGGTGGGCTGTGGGGTGGTGGCCTTCAGGGGAGCGCGGACGGGAGAGAGCAGCCAGGGTGAGACRTGGGATGCAGCCGGGGAGGCGTCTGTGGCTCAGCCACTGGGGCTCAGGTCCAGAGCCGAGCTCCTGTCTGCAGCTCAAACATTTGAGCCAATCACTCCCTCTTTTTTTTTTTTCTTTGTCATTCAAAGTCCTGAGTGACATGGAATGATGGTCAAGGGCTCAGAGGAGTCATAGACTCAAAGGTGACCATCAGATGGAGTTAGGTTCTACCCAGGAAACACGAGGGGTCCCTGGGGTTGATTCCAGCACAGGCATTTCAGGGTGTTGTGGTTTGGAGGTGAAGTGTCCCCAAAAGATCACGTGTGAGACAGTCAAGGAGGTTCAGAGGAGAAATGAGGTAGTGAGAGCCTTAATCCCATCAGTGAGCTAATCCTCTGCTGGTACCTGGGAGGCAGGTGGGTTGTGGCTGGAGGAGGTGGGCATTGGGGACGTGGCTTTGGGGAGTACATTTTGTATCTGGAGAGTGGAGTSTTTCTCTGCTTCCTGAACATGATGTGAGCCACTTCCCTCCTCCCTGCCCTCCCAYCATGATGTCCAGCCTCACCTGAAGCCCCAGGGAATGAGTCAGCTGTCTGTGGACTGAGACCTCTGAAACTGTGAGCCCCCCGAATAAACGTTTCCTCCTCGAATTGTTCTTGTGGGTTTTTAGTCACAGCAGTGAAAAAGCTGACTAGACACAGGGCAGTGGAGGGGAGAGGTGCAGGGAGATGGCCTCTGCTCCCTGATCTCAGGTCACAYGGACAGTCACCACAGCTGGACAGCACACATTTTATCTGAGCTTAACCCTGTTGCTCAGAGTGTCAACTGTCTAAGGATTGGCAAGGAGTGAGTGTTTGTTCCCTGGGCTGCTGTGACACAGTGCCACCCTCTAGGTCCTTAGGACAAAGAACTTCACTGCCTCATACTCTGGAGGCTGGAGATCTGTGGCCTCCATGTGCCAGGTATGTCCTTTAGAGGGTGTGAGGCAGAGCTGGCCCGGGGCCTCTCCTGGCTTCTGGGGGTTGCCGGTGATCTTCAGGCTCCTTGGCTTATAGACTGATATGGGTTAGATTTGAAATGTTCCCCAAATACCTCTGTGTGGGAGGCTTGGTCCCCAGGGCAGCAGTGTCCAGAGATATTCTTGGGGAGTGTTTGGTTCAGGAGGCCCTGACCTCATCAGTGGGTTAATCCACTGAGAGATCCCCACGTGATGGCATTATTGGGGGACCTAGATGAAGGATGGAGACCACAAGGGGTGCCCTGGCAGTGTTGAACTCTCTCTCTGTCCCCATCCACCATGATGCTCTGCTTCCCCTCAGGCCCAAAGCAATGACACTGGCCCACCATGGACTGAGACCTCCGAAACCATGAGCCACGGTGAGTAATTTTAGGCGTCCAGGGAGTTGCAAAGATAGTCTAGAACTACTAGAACTAATAAATGAATTCAGCAAAGTGGCAGGATATAAAATCAACACGCATAAATCAAAGGCATTTCTGTATATCAGCGACAAAACTTCTGAAATGGAAATGAGGAAAAACACTCCATTCACAATATCCTCAAAAAAAAATATTTGGAAATCAACCTAACAAAAGAGGTGAAAGATTTATACAATGAAAACTACAGAACCCTAAAGAGAGAAGTAGAAGAAGATCTTAGAAGATGGAAAAATATAC